GATAGGTATTTACAGAGTACTTTAAAGTTCATCTTAATTTCCTCTAGCTTTGGTCGTCATTCTCACTTCTTTACTTTTATTTAAGAACATGGCACATTTTCAAGGTTATTGATAGAAAGGGAAATCAACAAGAAATCATGTCATGGGAAAAGTAGGTGTAGTCACTTCACAAATAGCTAAGTAAAAAATACCACCTCACTAAAAAGATACGTTCTCTGCCTCAACACTTGAAGTCTTTAAGATGTTAGACGTTCCATTTATCTGGAACGGCATTTCCTGCCTAGGTAGGGGGTTGGTCTAGAAGACCTCCAAGGTCCCTTCCAACTCTGCTATTGTATTGTATTGTATGTGTACAACTGAATTCCATGTTGGGGTTATTATTATTTTCTAAAAAGATAAAAATACAGCCAAGCCAATATTGCAATTCTTTACAGAAATCCATTTCATGGTCACACTAAAGTAAGGTGCAGAGTTTCTGTTTTTAGACAGCAGGAAGAAAATTAGAACAGAAAAAAGCAAACAAAATGGTCAAGGAAATGAAAGAACATATCTTTGAGGTTAAGCTACAATGTTTAGAGCATTTTAACTTTGGGCTTATAAATGGGAACATATAAATGATTCCACATAAGGCAACTGAGTAATGCTTTGACTATGGGAATTTGGAAGTCCATTGTAAGCAATGAAGAAAATATGAACAATGCATGTATTAAAAGTCAGAACAACGGCAATTTGGCACAGGTAGAGATTAATATTCAGGTATGAAACATTTTTTCCACTATAAAGAATACGGCTGCTCTACAATGTTATTAACAATGCTAACAACTATTAATAGTAATAGTTCCTCCAACAACTGGGAACCTCCTTGTTTCACTAGCAGTATAAAATTCAAGTAGTGTAATGCCAAAAATTGCATTATGTGTACCTGATGAAAGAAATGGCTGGACAACAGTGGAAAAATAAAATCCACTCTAAATCTGAGGGTTTGGACTACCAATAAAGGAGAATATCTATAGCTCCGGGTTGAAATGAGAAATCCTTTGTGCTTGTTGTTTTCTTGCAGACATTTCATTACCTAAACTAGGTAACATCAGCAGTGCTAATTTGAGTAATGAAATGTCTGTAAGAAAACAACCAATCACAGAGAACACCAAGGACCTCTCATTTAAACTCTGAGCTACAAATATTGTGTCCTTTATTGGTACTCCCAATTCTGCTGAATTATATCCATTGCTATCCATTCCCACTGCAAGGACAGTCCTTCTCCATAAACCCAGCTGCAATTCTGTATACTGTACCCTTGCCTAGGCCCCTGATATTTCCACATAGTTCAGTATGGAATCTTCTGCTTATTATTTCATTCCATAAGTAACCCCATTGGGGTGATAGATACTGTAATGCTGAAAATTTATATGTAAATTAGCATCCATGGGATTATTATTCAACCCTCTAAATCTATTGGCAGACTGTACTTCGTAACATGGGTTTCAGCTTTTTCTCAGTTTACCGTTTTTATTAAGAGAATGTATGGATGACTGGCAATGAAGGCACATAAGATTTTAAAAGGAGTCCCGCTGGCTTATAAAAAGCCCTGTGTCAGGTTTCAAATAGTGGCCACTGAGAAGCTTTTAGGAAGCTGAGCATTAGAGCATGAAGTTTACTGCATCTGGCCTTCTCAAACTGTGGCTCAGGGTTATGGGCAATTTAGAGGGGATTCATACTTTTTAAAAATTTGATCACATGGCAGTACTGTCAAAAAATGCTCTGAGCTTTGCTCCCTCCTTTTTTGGCTGTGGAAATAAGTCCTGGCAAAAGTGGGGGGAGTTTAGACAGCTCTTCTCCTTTGCTTTGCATAGGTAAAATGTGAATATTAACAAAAATCCCTCCAGTATTAGCTGCTCACTTGTTTCACTATGTAAAAGAAATGGCTGGGATTCTGTGAAATATGGGAAGACCTAAGATATACAGGTGGACCTTGACCAGTGGTGGGTTTTCATTATTTTTACTACTGGTTTGTGCACATGCGCCTGAAGCTTCTGTTGCATGTGAATGTGCGCGTGACGCTCCCGCTGCCGCCACTATCGGTTCACCTGATCCAGGTCGAACCGGGAGCAACCCACCTCTGGCCTTGACTTATAGCCATTTGTTTAGTGACCATTCTAAATTACCACACCAATGACAAAAAAACTTCTGATCATTTTTCACATTATGACTGTGGCAGCATTCCCATGGTCACATGATCAAAATTCAGATGCTTGGCATCTGGCGTGTATTTATGTCAGTTGCAGTGTCCCAGGGTCATGCAATCACCTTTTGCTACTTTCTGACAAGCCCAGCCAATGAGGAAGCCAGATTTGCTTAACAACCTTGTCACTAATTTAACAATTGCAATGATTCACTTAACAACCATGACAAGAAAAATCATATCATGGGACAACACTCATTTAACATGTCTTGTTTTCCTCAGTTATGGTCATATGTTGAGGACTAGCTGCATAAATTAATTTTTAACTATAAATCTAGGGTTTTCTTTTTCTTTTTGGCCATGTCTTGTTCCCTATGAAATAATTAGTTTTCTTCATGCAAGTTGGGCTAGGATTTCTCATAGCATTTGAGATCCTCTGAATTATTCATTGTTAAAACTATTCTTCATCCTTTTAGGGAATTGGGAGGTCTCTATATTGTCTGTTCTTCATGTTTCTTTCAGATTTCAATTTCAAAGTAGTTTTTAATTTACAATTTTAACACAGATTCTGCCACAAATCTAACATGTAAATTAATGCCAAACCAATCTTTCTGGGTGGCAAATTCTTTGGGAAATAAAAAAAATAGTACAATCCCACAACTATTACAATTTTGTATGTTCAGATTATAGAGATTGGACATAAACTGCTTTACTGTATTTGGATTCTGGAAAATCTTAACTGACGTTTTCTTAGATGCTGAAAATAACACATAATTGCTTATTATCAGATTGTGTTTAGAACGGGGTAAAATAGGTACCAGAAAATCATCCAGCTTCTGGTATTATTTGGGGCAGTTTTCACCGATTAGAGTCTGGTGCTCATTGCTCTTTTTTAAAACTCCTTTTCTGTACTGATCAAGTGACAATTGCATGTAAACTCCAATAAATTACTGATAGCTAAATGAAATTTACTTTGATTTGCTTTCAGCTTTGACATAATACATTGGACTGTTTCTGGCTAATGATTATATGGTTTCTATTTCAAAGGTAATTTGAGCAGGCAATCCTTGATTTACAACAACTGAGACTGAAATTTCTGTTGGGGTTGGAAATCAAGTTTGACCTGAATTTAAAACAATGTTCATAGTGGTTGTTAAGCAAAGCAGAGGTTGTTAAGCAAATCATGTTTGTTAAGTGAATCATGTGGTCATTAAGTGAACCCAGCTTCCTCAATGGGTGTTTTTCACAGGAAATCAACAAAAAGGATCGAAAATTGTGACCACGTCACTGAAGGACACTTCAACTAGTCATAAATGATTAGTGTCCAAATTTTGATCACATGACTATGGGGATGAAAGAACTGTCATGTGAGTACAGGTCATACTATATAAGTCTCTATTTCTAAGGCCATTGTATCTTTAAACAGAGTACCTGTCGTTCAGAACATCACTTATTTCATTTATTAATTCAAAATTGTAAGGTCACAGATAGACCCAAACAGTATAGCCTTGCAGCCAATTTAATGTTTGGTTAACACAAATATGCGATCTTAGATTTCATTTATTTTATTTATTAAATTTATTCAGCCCCTCTTGCTGTCATGAGATTTTAGGATGGAATTACTGGAGTTCACTTAATTTAATCCTCAAGCATCATTCGAGCACTCTGCTTCCCAAACTACTTTTAAAAATAATAACATGTGAAATTCTGTTCAGATTTTTAATCATTACCATCAATGTACCCAGTTTGGCCTCCACTTGTTTTTTTATTTTTCTCTAACAGGCACTCCATTTGTCTCCCACCTGTACACAGACCTGTTTTTCTGATTTTTGTTCAATGCTTTTCCCAAGGTTACTCATAACTCCTCTTTATGATGCTGCTTTTGCCACTTAAACATTGTCACTCAAGCAAGAACACTAAAAATCCATAGAAAGGGGATGGCCAGTGGTGTGTGTGCATAGAGCAACTGGGTTTGGGTGGCTTGTCCATGAAGTAAAACATGCATGTTTGATCTGGAAACAGAGTGACATGAAGCTTTTGTCTTCCAAAAAAAGAAATAAGAAGAAGTAAGTTGAAAGCTGAGATGTGTCCTTGATAATATCATGAGTAACATGCTAATAGTTTTGGAAAAGGCAGTAATTTTATCATACCTTTTCATTAGCATTGAGACAGATACCATGATTTAAACAAAAACAAAAAAAATTTTAACCAGTAATTGTATTTTTTTGATGCATGATTAACGTAAAGCAAGAATGAAGAATCTGCAGCACTAAAGCTTTATGGGAGCCTCAGAATGATTTCTCAACTGCTCAATTCAGATCTCAGTTAAGAATGAATGATCCCCATCCCTACTCCTTTACTGTCTGGCTGCAGCATTGGGAGGAAGGAAGAGATGAAGGATTGGATTACAATAACTAAGAAAGAAAAGCAGAATTATTTCATCAGAAAGAGACAGAATTGATCCTGCCACATTGGGCCCAGTATGTCCCACTGCTCTATTCCTGTAGAAGATGACCAGGCTGAGCCTGAGGGAGGGGTCAAATACATAATAAGTCATGAGCCCCTATGCGCCCGCAAGAGATCCAAATCCAACCCATATTGGATGTATCCCTTATATCCCGCTCATTTCCCTTGACTTTCAACTGATCAGATTCTTGTAGAGAGCTTAAGTTTGCAATAAATCTTTATACTCATTTGAACTGCATGAATTTCCTGATGCTTCTGTCCCCTGCACAAGGCAAGCAGGTCCGAAGAATGTGGCCTTTGATTATTTTCCCAAGAAATTGTTATTCTTTCTATAAAACACATTTCTACAACATTTTTGCAAATACAAACTTTAATTCTGTACTCTACAAAAAGTCTTGTATATTCTTCTTTTTACAAAAAAAGGAGAAAGAAACATTACAAAAATACAGACAATTTAATACAATTTGATATAATTGTCTTTAGTTGTTATTTTCATTAAAATATTGCTACCAAAGAACTACAATATTTTAATCGACTATATAAAAAAAATTAAACCAATGCTTTCCTTTTAAGCAGCAACATGTAAATAAACACAGGTCAAAACACAGTTTATGATCATAGTGGATATATCTAACATTGTTTTGAAATAATATTTTACATAGTTAATTTGTAATGTTTTATACATTATTTATATAATATTTATATATATATATAAACATAGCTTGCTAGAATTGAAATGATAGGACGGATTTTGCATGGCAAAGATGTGCAAAGGCCAGTCTGCTTAGTTAGCCTGCTTGGTTTACTTCTTAAAATAAATTTTAAACATCTGTCTTTCAGAACCCCCCCCCCCCCCGGACAAAATTAGTTCTGCTGCCATTCATCTCCTTTGCCTGCCCTTGGTTTTCTTGAGAGCTGCACCCCAACCTGGTGCACTCAATGCATATCCTAAAACTCCCTCCATTTCATTCAGCTCTGCCAATCATAATGGGAACTGTGGTCCAGTTCACCCCAAAAGTGACAAAATGGAGGAAATGGACGTAGTGAATAGCTACAAATCTTCTGTTTTCTTCAGGGCATGGGAAATTCAAGAAGAGTTTTAACTGAATATCAGGATAAGACGGCTCTGCCCAGCAGTCCGTCACCCACCTGGAGGATTAGTGTTCTGAGTTTCAACCCCAGACCTCATAGTGCTAACATACATTGACAAGACTGTCCACACACAAAAAATTTTATGAGTGGGGACTGTTCAAAATACAGTTCCATCGTTAGTGGTAGTGGATAGGAAGATTTACTGGGCCATTGAGTAAGCACAGGCCAGAGGTACCAAACAGGATTATAGACAATGCCTATTAAAGATATTTAATTCTGAATATCTTAAAATGTCCCATAGTTGATTAATCCTATTTATTCTCCAATGTTTAGAGATGTATCACTTGCAAGAACAAATACTGAACGAATCTTACAAACAGGGGAATCAGCTGAGTTCTGTTTACCAAAACAATTTTGTTTTATGCCTCATCAGATAGAAAGTGGTATTAGGGAATGTTCAGAGGAATGAACAATAGGAAAAAAATATTTTCTAATATTTTACAGGGCATGCTTCATCTAAACCAAAGTAAGTCACAGTATGGAATGGAAAGAACCCAAAATATATAGATATATAGATATATGTAAGAGATTATCCTTAAAAAGTGACCACAATCGATGTCAGTGCTTATTTCTTGTACATAGTGCTATAATTTAGTTAGTAAGGGTTTGTCTCTCTACACCACCGTTCCATTTTCCTAACAGAAAATTACAAATCTTCGAAGGAAGGAAGGAAGGAAGGAAGGAAGGAAGGAAGGAAGGAAGGAAGGAAGGAAGGAAAACCGAAGAAAACAGAGATGGCCAGTTTCCTAACAATTATTTAGTGTTCATTACAGTATGAACAATTTAGCATTCACTACAACATGAACACTCAGCCAATTGCACATTTAGAAATTCCTGCATGTGTTGACTTGTTTTGTGATTGTTGCCTCTGACTTGGCTGAACAACATCCATTTTATGCAAATGTTGTAAAGAGTAAAAAGGCCACAGAGTTAGACCTTACGGTCAGGCAAAAATCTCTCCCTACATTCTACTGTCAGATGAGATTGAGAGCAGCAGGTAGTTGCTGTCAGCAGTCATTTTGCAAAAAACAAAATAATAAAAATAAAAATACGTCAAATGTCTACACCATGTTGTGATGGTTGTTCCTGTCAATGATGTCCACAGGTGATAATATCTCCCTCCGGATGGGAGGAGACGGCAACATCTTGGTTTTCTGCTTGAAGAGGTCTGAGACATAAAAGACCTGTCAATAAAAATAAATATATTTAAAATGAGGGTCTACGAAGTGTGAAGTGAACATTGTTAAAAGAGGCTAAAATAGCCGTTCAGAAGTTATACAGTCCCCAGTTATGTTAGAGAACTGAATTTGTGTAATAGAGAAGAAGCAAGATATGTACACAAAAACACACAGAAAATACATTTTTGGCAATTGAATTCAACACTGCTCCCTTATCTATAAAAATTTCCCTTTTCATTCTTGATTTTTTCTCTCCTATTGGATTAGTCCTTCTTCGCAATATGATTTACTATTTTAATTTGCTTGCGTGGAAATACCTAGGCAGAGAATGTACTAAAGTAAGGAATTTTTGGGGAAAGGGTTTGGTAATGTGGAAATAGTCCAATTTCAGCTTTTCTAAATCATCACACAAAATCATGCCGTTGCACTCCTTCCTTCTGGTAATCCAAACTCTGCTATTAATAAATTTTCCTTAAGAGTCAGTTCTCTGCAATTATTAGTCAGGGACTAGCCTGATGTTTTTTCACTTTCCTTTCTCCTCTCCTTCCTCTTCTTTACCGTCTTTTCATCTCCATTAATATATTAACACTTACTCAGGATGACTGTTCAGTATTTATGGGGCAGCATTAAGAGAGATTCCCAGCCACTTTTTCCTTAAATAGCCAATGAGGTAAGCACAGTTACGGATGTGAAAAAGTCTTCGTTTAGTTATTCATAGAGGCAGCCGCACAATGAAAAATCCCAAAGAGGAAACTTTAACATCCTCCTCTAATATAGTTGAATATCTTATCAGACTAACATAATGGGTGTGCTTTTTCTCTTGCAAAATATTATTCTGAGGCCAGAAAGGAAGAGATCCAGACAGCGCCTGGTTCTGCAAACAGCAGAATAAAGTTAATCTCTCTTATACAGTAATATTCCAGTCATCAAAATCATCATCATGTGCATTATTTATACACTTCCGTCAAAAGTAGAACTTTTTCTACTTTCTAATTTGTGGGAGAATTAGATTAATATTGCTCATCAAACACTATGAGGTTAATAAAGGATCGAAAACTACAATCCAAGACTTATACTATAAATATTAAAAATAATGGCATATAAGGTTGACTGGAGTAGAATAAGACAGGAAGAGTCAGTTTTGTTCAGATTATATGACTTTTTTCAGGACTAGGTTCAAGCTCTGCCATCCTTAGTATGCCAAGTATATCATTAAATTCTTTCCCAGAGTGAGAAGTCGTCAAGCACATTAAAGATTCAATAAATGATTCATTTTATTGATACAAATGTTAAATTGATGGTTTTATAATATTTCTGCATCTAAATATTGCATTGAAGTATAGTTACTTCACAGAGGAATTAAAGTTTGAGAAACTTGAGCAAGCAAAAATCATAGTTAGATTGTAAGATCTTTTTGAGTTCTTTCTTTCTCATTGCCATCCTAACACTTGTTTGAAATTAAGTCAAATTAAAGACCAATTGGCCTTCCAGAACTTTTTTCTTTTTCTTTTGAGAAACAGATTTTCTCACAAAATCCCAAATGCCACTAAAATGAGCATGAGCGAGTTCAATAGCAGAGAAACCCTGTGAGAAAAAGATCTGTGAACAACTCATAGTCGGAATCTATCACAAAAGTTAGTTCTGACTAAATTCTATTGAAATTTTTTGAATCTAAATTCTATTAAATTCTATTGAAATCTATTGAAATATTGCTTGTGCTAGACAACTCTGATAGAACTCCATTCTGTTTCCTCCTAAACTTGTTAGAGCATGAATTGAAGTTAGTGTAGGCATATATTCAAAGAGTAAGCAACTCTCACTATTGGTAACTTCTAAAGAGAACCTTGGCCCTAGGTAATTAATGAGGCCAAATGCTCTATATTGTTCTATTTATTTTTTTGTGATGTTGGCATGTTTTGATTTCTGTAGATTTGCAATTGGAAAGGGCAAATTTCATTCAAATTATAATAATTGTACTGTATATATGTACTGTATGTATACAACTGTAAGAGCCCTGGTGGGACAGTGGTTAGAATGCAGTATAGCAAGCAAACCAGGCATGGGTTCCGGCAGTCACTACTACCGGTTCGCTCATGGCCATGCCATGCGCGCACTTGATGTGCGCATGCACAGTGCAATAAAAATTGCTCTGTGCATGCACAGAAGCAAAAAACCAGACGAGAACCGGTTTGGGGGTGTGGTAGGCCTGGGTCATTGTTAGTTCCAGCAACCCACGCTGCCAAACAACTACCGGTTTGGCCAATGCGGGCCTTCCCGTTTTCCAAAGTCAGTAAAATGAGAACCCAGGTTATTGGGGGCAATATGCTAACACTGTAAACCGCCCAGAGAGTCTGTATAGCAACATGGAGCAGCATATAAGTCTAACTACCATTACTATTGCTTATTTTTGTTCCAGATCCAATGCTCCTGTAGCTTTGCAGTTGACAGCTGAAGGCCTGCCAAGACTTCATTTAATCTCAGCTATATCCACATTATATACCGAAAACTCCATGACAGATCAATCTGTGGCAGGAGGAATGGTGGTTATGCAGTGTAAATGATCGATAGAGAGATTAGATTCTATCCGGCCCAAATTTTATAAATGAGTAAATTATGGATGGGGTATCAGCTTGGCTTCCTTAGCCATTGTTCTGCAGCTCATGGTTTTGTGTGGCTTTAAATACTGGGTATCAATAGCATTAATTCTCTTTTAAACTGTATTTGCTTTAGTGAAAACTTGAGGTTATGCAGATACATACAGAAAGTGCACATAAAGTAAAAGATGATCTTCCAAGGTCATGGAAAACTTCACACTTTGTATGCGGAGTGCAAAAAATATAAGATAAATTCACAAGGTATTTTTGATTGGACTTCCATTTCCTGTGGAAAGTATTCTTTGCCCATAAAAATTTCCTATACAAAGTCATTTGAAATAATCTGTAGATATTTTAAAAAAACTTTTATTGGGTCAAGAGTACTTAAGGAAATAATCTGAAAGTAGTCTGAGATGGAAAGGGAAATGGATTTAGATTCATGACCTCCCTAATTTTGTAACTACATGGGTAATACTGTCTGAATCTAAAATGTATTTTTATTTTAGCAAATCTCAGTATATTTATGTTATAGAGAATTCAAGTATGTTTCAGCTGTTGAAATACAAATGCTATATTGTTTTTGTTTTTCAGTTGGGGAAATCAATCAAACAATAAATTCCAACTATTACTCGAGTGTTTGAATGCCAACGAGACAAATTCAAATGCACCACAACCTTCTTGTCGAAAAACATTACATAACAAATAATAAATCACTAGACCCATATCCTATTTATTTGCTTAGCAAAGTGTGCATAGAAACTGATTTACATGTGATTAACGGATAGATGGATGGATGGACTGATTACATGCCATCATTGTTTTTAATTCTTACCTACCACATAGAAAGATTTTCTCCATACCAATCAGTCCCTAACCTGTTCTTTTCAGGTTGCCCAAGAGTGTAGTACTCATTGCTACTATAATTGCCTCTATCCACCTTACTGCTGGCTATCGTTTTCTTTTTCCTTCCACTTTTCCTTCTTTTAAAGCCTTATAAGTGATCAAATCAGACTTTTGGCTTTTCAGTGAAGAGACTGCAGTGTGTATTGTCTCAAAGCTCCTGCTGTTAAAGTGGCTTCACAAGCCAAGAGTTTGCCACCAAGCTGTTTATATCAAGATTCTTGACTTGTTCCTCCAAAACATGCTAGAAATCCAAAGCGGAAAGAATATGTTTATTTTTTTACTTTAGAAGATAAGTCAAAGAATTTCCGTCTGGATGTAAATTTTAGCTTTTGCTTGAGGGTGATTCTTGGGGTGGGGGTGTTGGTTTAACAACTAAATAAAAGTTAATTTGATGGGCATAGTGCAGCAGCGGACTGTAACACAAGGAACAACCCATAAATGAAAGTTCCAGTTCAGATCAGATTCTCTATGTAGCTGAACAATAATAACCACAAAAAAATCTATTATAAATGACGCAAAAGCATTTTTCCATCAAATCCATCCTATCACAAAGGGTGATGGAACAGTAATCCTATATATCTGGATGACACCAGACTACCAAAGTCCAACACTGGTAATGAGACAATTAAGTGTCAGATTTTACTTTAATGCTTGATTTATAAAAATAGAGAGAAGTTTGCGAGTCCATAAATCTTCTTCTGCAAGGCATTTTGCGTCTCAGTTTCAGACTAGGAGCAGAGTGAGAGGGAGAGAAGAAAAACAGGGCAAGCAAGAAGTAGTTTGGTTGTATAGACTTTTACTAACAGGAGGGGGAAACATCAAGACACCCAGTTTTGTATGTGTGTCTCACTCCCAGTCAGAGTTAAATTCTGTATAATTCTATTTTATAGAAGCTAAAGCAGATCAAGAGTAGATCTGGAACTAGAGAGAAATCCATTTAAGGCATAAATAAATAAACATATAATGAAGGAAGTACTGTATTTTTCCGGGATAAGACCACCTTTTTCCCTCAAAAAAGAGGATGAAAATCTGGGGGCATCTTATACACGGAATGCAGCATTTTTGGCCTCCTGAAGCCCCACCCCATTTGCAAAAATGGCTGTGCATAGCCTTTAGGAGGCTTCCAAGGTGACCCTCGGGACTGGGGAGGGCAAAAATGAGCAAAAACCAGTCTGTTTTTTGCTCCTTTTTGCCCCTCCAGCCCCCAGGAGCACTCTATAAGCCTCCTTTTTTGACAAAAAACGGGCCCGTTTCCATGAAAAGTTGGCCGTTTTTGAGAGGTCTGCAGAATGCAAAAACTTATTTTAAAAAAGTTGCCTCTTCAAAATCTTGGTGCATCTTATACTCTGAAAAATATGGTAATAATCAGTCTTCAATAATCATAAACATTGTTGAGATGGGTGGTACATAAATCAAATAAATATAGGAATAAAACATTATTCCTGCAACAACTGAGTTACGTATTCTGTATCCATGAAATCATGGGAGGCCCTAGAAAATTGCTGACCA